TTAACTCATGTAATATTCGGAAGGAATGCGAGTTGTCGGAAAATCTGAGACGATAGCATTTAAGTAGTCACTTTTACAGAGAGGTGACCTCGCCTTTTATAGCAGGGTAAGAGACTGAATGGGAGGTTATAGAAAAGGAACAACACTTCCCGCGTAATTACATAAATAGATGTCCACGTTATCACTTACTTTCACAATGCTGGCTAAGGACAAAAAACTGCCGATTTGACAGAATACCCGAAATCACTTTTACTGGATTGCTGGACGGAAACAGGGAACAAAAATCACTAGATTGCAAAAAATAGTGACTTTTCGCAATACTTTTTCGATACACATACAGCCAATACTGTAATAAATTGGAAACTACACCCTTTATACTAACTAAATATGCCTGGTAGTCATCTAGTGGATTCTAGATTGACTGCTTAGGAGATCCTGCATGGGCAGTCAGCTTACAGTATCAGTATTGGCGGATTACATAAGTTTCAGAAGGCTGGGCTAGTTAATCAACTCGGGTGTGATTAAATTTACGGCTACCGGTGGGGCCTCCATAGCTCAGGTGGCTAGAACGTTGGCTATAACAAGGCCTTCCTTGCTGGCGTGGGTTCGAATCCCACCGAGGCCACCGCATTTTTTCATAATTGGTTCAATTCAATAAATTAGAAGCTCAATGTAGGGTAAAGTGGCCCCAGGCGTCACGCCTTCCCTGGCCACCAAGATCAAGTTGAAAAAGTGGCGTAGTGTTCTGTGGAACGTAAATAGTGGGATGAATGACCTATTTGCTCGGCTTTCAGTCGGTGAAAATGTAGCCTGTCCAGTCCCATAGGACAGCATTATAAAACTTTCATGCATTTTGCTCGAACCATTGGTCTATATACCGGACTTTTTTTTCACAGCTTTTGGCAAATATACCACCGGCAAGGGGAGAACGCGAGCGGGTCAAGAGGCCGGGCAGAAGAATAGTGTTTTAGTTTCCACAAACATGGTCAGCCGCACAACACAATTTCAAGAGAGTAAAGATCTAAAACTGAGCCTGCGATTGCTACTTGTGATGCATATGACAGGCAATGTGGGCTGCTGTGAACAGTCGGGGGGGAAAACAGCAATCAGCTGAGCCTGAGTCGCGGTGGCATAAGGCTAACAGTAACAGAATGGTCGCAAGAACACAAAAGGTTATTGTTGTGGCATGAAGCGTAGCAAGGAAATAAACTAGCCACGGGGTCTCATTCGCAAATTTTAGGTCGATAGTGGCAGCAATGACCCTAGAGTGCATTAATGACGGGCGCTTTAGTGTTGTGATCTGACGGCACCAGGAAAGATGTCCTTTCCGTGTTCTTGCCTGCACGTGTTCCTTAAGTACTTC